CTATCACTTGTGATCTCTTTCAGAAAATTCACTGAACTAGTCCTGTCAACAGAGAGCTAGTTCCCATCATTCTCTGAATTTATGTGCTTTTTGTGTACTTGCATTTTCAAAGGGATTTCAGAGTTCTCAAAAAACTGAGGGGATATGTCAAATGCTGCCTCCTCCCTCAGCAACAAGTGGGCAGTATATTTGAGAGATGTCTCCTCGTTCAGATGCCCCTTCACTCGTTGAGACTGACTGCGTACAACACAGAAGGGTCTTTGACAATAAGCTTGGCTTCTGTCGACTGAGAAGCACATTAAAACCAGAGCATCTTCTCAGTTTCTCCAGATAGCAGAAGTTTCGAAATTGTTATCAGTATGAAGTTGAACTCTTAATATTAAGTCATGATACATCTTTACATTACCAAACTCTTAACAGTTTAGCCTTCATGCCTAAAGCAGTTTCATGCGTACTTTGATTAGACTTTAGTTCCAAATTTCAGACTGATAAAAGCTTCTGAGACACAGAAACTTATTTGCCGATAGTCCAAACTGCACCAAACTTTAGAATTTTCTCCAACTCCTTAAAATAAAAACCCAGAAGTGCAAAAAAACAAACAACAAAACAACCACATATATGCACATACACAAACACGCACACAGTAGATGAAAGAGGAAGAAGTGTAGGTCCACATATAACAATGTTTCTTAAGAATTTTTTAGTTTTTGTCTTTTTCTTTTAATTATGATATAGTGTCTAAACAGGAACAGTTTTTTTACAAGTCACTTCCAAGGCATTTAAACAGCTGCCTTCTAAGCTATACTAGCAGAAATTATCATGACTATTTGTCAAACAGATTTAAAGCTTCAGTAGATGCTTAACAATAACTATTAAGCACAAATGGCTGCATCACTATTTTAGAAGTGAAAAAAACACCTTCTAAATTACACAGATTTGAGTTGAAGTGATAATTTTTCCCACTGATAATTAAATCCCAATATAGCTTGGTACCACATCTTTTATTCACCAACAAGGCTTTGGAAAACCACATTTTAGGAACATAAGATAGAGCTACAGTAGCACTAAAAATGAATGCCACTCAGTCGATATAAACATTTTTAACAAATAAGAGGCAGACTTATTTGTTAAGAATGCACATAACAGCACACCAGGAGGTTCCTATTATGGCGCTGGCATGAACACAAATACAGTGGCGCCTTGACTTACGAATTTAATTCGTTCTGAGACCGAGCTCGTTAAGGAGCTCGTTAACTCAAATTACTCTATCAACTCAATGCAAAAAATCGGCCGAGAGACAGCTGGTATCTCAAAAAACTCGTTAGTAGGGACACTCGTAAGTCAAGGTCCCACTGTACCAGGGAACCAGAGATACCAGAGTCATCATTTCTTGAGATAGACACCCTTCCTTTGTGTAGCTGTACTGTGAGCTGCTTGCTGTACCCTCTCCATTTTATGGGTAGCTTCATTTCATTACTTTCAATTCTGACCAGCATAACCAAGTTCCTTATCCTAATTTTATTAAGGCTGCACATAAAACTCTGTCTTCCATTTAAAAATCTAAAATATTCACAGGCTCTGGGTTAAGAAATACATGCAGATCTGTTGACAAAATAAGGCGCAAATAGAATACATATTTGCATATACCATAGTAGTTATTAAAACTTGTTATAGTAATGTCAAAATGTCAAAAGTACTGCCTACATGACAGAGGAGACAAATTTCTGAGCTACATTCTTTGCCAGGTAGTAGGAGATAGAATGTCATAGCTCTGGTCAATAATTCCATAAATGGATGTGGCCATCTGAGATGCTTTTTACAGGCTAAAAATGAGAACAATGAGCCCAGCTGGTGTGGCTAAGTGGTTGAGTGTCGACCTATGAACTAGGAGGTCATGATTTGATCCCAGGTCAGGGCACAGGCCTGGGTTGTGGGCTCCATCCCCAGTGTGGGGTGGGCAGGAGGCAGCTGATCCATGATTCTCTCATCATTGATGTTTCTATTTCCTTCTCCCTTCCTCTCTGAAATCATTAAAAAATATTTTTTTAAAAAGAGAACAATGATAAGTGAGCAAAGAAAGACATGGAGGCGGTGATAGTGGAGAACAAGTAATTATTTTGGGGAGGACTTCTCAGCTATAAGGACTTTATCAATACTTATCATGTAACCACTGGATATGACCATAAGGAAATCTAATTAGCACCTCTATCAAGATTTTTAAAAAATCTTTGTTTCATATCCTCATTAATGTTTTAATGATCTCATTAGTAAGAATTCATTACAATAAGTTACTATATCAAACATGTACACATATGCATGTACATATATATACAATATTTTTTAATATTTTATTGAAGAAACGAGAGATAGAAACATCAATGATGAGAGAGAATCATTGATCATTTGCCTCCTGCACACCCCCCACTGGGGATGGAGCCCACAACCCGGGCCTGTGCCCTTGACTGGAATCGAACCCAGGATCCTTCAGTCCACAGGCCCACGCTCTTATCCACTGAGCCAAACCAGCTAGGGCTGTATACAATATTTTTAACTTTATTTTTATTGTTAATACTATTGCATATGTTTCCATTCTCCCCCTTTGTCCGCCTCCACCAAACTCCTGTCCCCCCTTCCCTCTGGTCATCAGCACATTATTGTCTGTGTCTATAGGTTATGGACATTTTTAAAGTGCATTGATATTCCTCCTTTCCTCCAGCAGAGGTCAGAAAATAGCAATACAGGAATATGAAACATCTCTGAACCATGAGAATATTTTAGAGTGATTTTCCCTAGATAGGATTATAGAGGGTTTTATTTTAGTTTTTCTTTACCCACATTTTCTAATTACATTTTTACAATAAATATGCTTTACTTTTGTAATAATTAAAAGAAATAACATTTATTTTAAAATTTATAAAGATACTGCTTATTTGCTTGTGTTTTCGTAGCTGCACCCACATTATTTGATATAGTCTAAGAAAGCAGCCCATTTGGCCATCACTCTGTAAAAGTATTGTGTAAGATCATTTCCACAATTAACGACTGTAAGCGATCTCTTTCAAACAAGGAACGTAATATCAGCCATAAGATTACCAAAAAAACAAACATCCTGAGCATAGCTCCTGATTGCCAGGAACCCCTGCACAAACAAAGAGAGAAGAGTGAATATACTCTTTAGTCATCTATGTTGTCTGGAGAAAACGAAAAGAGATCCCCGTGTTCTGAGAGATAAGTCTCTGTAAGTCTTACATGTTAACAGCAGTTCTCAACCTGTGGGTCGCGACCCCTTTGGTGGTCGAACGACCCTTTCACAGGGGTCTCCTAAGACCATCCTGCATATCAGATATTTACATGACGATTCATAACAGTAGCAACATGACAGTGATGAAGTAGTAACGAAAAAAATTGTATGGTTGGGTCACAACATGAGGAACTGTATTTAAAGGGCCAGAAGGTTGAGAACCACTGTGTTAGGACAAGGAAGACAGAAGAAATCAGTCAATGTGATCTGTATTTAAAAGCAAGGAAGCCAGGGAAGGATGTTTACTAAGTGCTGCTAATTGATGTTCAACACATTGCACTGTCACCATGCTACATTTTCATTTTTAAACGATGTGTCTCTTTTTCTACTAGACACATGTAGGAACAAAGTGAAAAGGCTTATAAAACAAAATCTGAGTTCCACCAAAACATTTATGAATTAAGGAAATCTTACCCACATTATGCCAAATTAGATAGATTTTTCTTTCCAGTTTTATTAAATGATTCATAGTGTACAGTCTGTTATCTGTCCTTCTTGATATTAGCACTCACAAATAATATGTGTGTCAATGTATCAACATTGTTATATGAATCAAACTGACTTGCTAGTTACTTCTGTCTCCGTAGGGGATGACTTCTACCAGTGAGGACTATGCCTATACTGTTTACTTCCATCTGTGGAGGCAAGTGAGGAAGAGAGGAAAGACTGAAATTCAAAACCTCTGCCAGTTCTTCTGTGGGAGACCAGGGGACGGTGCCAGAGTAAGTGAATCTCGGCTTGTCAGAGAACATCAGTGACTTTTTGGAGCAAAGCAATGATGCTAGAAAACAAGGATCAGGGAGATGTGAGAAGAGTCTAAAGACGAGAAACATGGTGGGAGACTGGCATCTACAGAGAAATGTGGGCATAAGTCTAAGAACTTATTAGAGTGTCTAATATTCAATTCTAAGCTATTGGTGTTTCTGCAATTTAACGCCCCCGCCCCTGCCCCTAGCCCTGCATTTGCTCAAAATTTCAGTCGAGTCTGATGTACACAAATGCTCGGGGTAGTCTGAGGGGAATCACAACGAAGAGGTGAATTTCAACCCAGGTTGGCATAGAGCAAAAGGAAGAAAAGAGTCACAGGCCATGTGATATGGATGAGCATAGGTGTCATGGAGGCCGGAACCATAAACCACAATGATCATGAGAATGTAAGACTCAGTAAACTCACAGAAATCTCAAGGGGATCAATGGAGCTTCCCCACAAAAAGAAATGGAATTTGGGACTTCAATCACTTTTCTATAAATCTTAAAAGAAGAATAACTTTAGCTGTTAAATTAGACACTGATAAAATTTCAAAATACTACCTTAGACATATTGCCAATACTTTTTATAATGTGAAGTCTAGGGCAGCATTTGTAAAACTGCACACAAGCTTTTGTATCACATGAAAGAGCCCAAGGTATTTGATAGATTAGCCACAAATGCTTTTTCTCTATTAGTGTCGTTAAACTTTTTACCAAATGGGCAATACTACTTGGTCAATTACCTTCCTGAATAGGCAGAGAATTCTCACTTACTCCCACTTTGATAACACTGAAAAATTCTCAGAGTGGTTGAAATACACTCATAAACTACATACCTTTGCAAATATTCTGGATTGCAAAAGTCTCTCTGAAAGAATGATCTTCAATTTGCATCAAGAAATAACCACAGAGTAGCTTTCAAATCCTTCAAAGGCTGGCCCAGGCTTACCTTTGTGTGGTGGATTAGACACTCCACTTCATTCACTTTGTAGGTCTCTATTCCTAGCTCCTTGGCTAATCTTAAGATACGATTCTGGGTTGGCCCAACATAGGATCCTCCAAGGTCCACATATTTAACCATTTGGTTCTGTTTTCCCAAGAAAAAAATAAAAATAGTTGTGAACATGTTATTACTAAGATGAAAAAGAGAGCCCTGAATTAAGCAAATTAGCATTTCATAGGTTATAGACATATCTGGTATATCCATGAAAAATTGGGTTCTATTCTCAACTCCATTCATGTAATTTAAGTTATTAAATCATTTTTTAATTTAAGCAACATTAATTGAACTTTGTATAGGCAACGAATTTCTGAACCTTATCATTCCGACAACATGGTTTGGTTTTCAGTGCCTTGGGTTTATAATCTCTGAATTGTTGGCGAGTTCTCAATACTTAGTACTTGAGGCTAATTTTGAGGCAGCTAATGCTAGAGGACAAACAAGAAAGAAAATAATCACTTCTTATGTTTTGAATTAGCTTCACATCCAATGACTAAGGATCAAACTCTGAACAAGAAGTGAATAGAAAAGTTCCCTGTGTTTGAACGTGTCAAATCATAACTGGGTACCTCCTGGTCAGCGACACCAGAGAAGGCCTTTTTTTCTGTTTTTGTTTGTTTTCTATTATTTGGCTCCCCCCCCAAAGAATATATATAT